GGTTGTAGATATGATGTGGTTGATCAAACATTTATGAATACTTTTAGATCATTCGAGTTCCAAAAAATATAGATTAGTGGAGATAAAATTTATATAAGATATGGTACAAGTAAAGTCATTCGTCATGTTCTCACATGTTAAGACTAAATGTTTTCGTTGTAAAATCGTCTATGTAATTGTAAATTGTTCTCATAACGTTGAAAAACTAAAGATAATATGAATATTTAACCTAATCTTTTATTAAATATTTTCAATTTGGGAAAAACAATAGCAAAACTTGTGAGGGTTTTGAATACCAATTCCATCCTAGACTAGTCAAATAGTTTTCAAATATTAATCACTGTTGGTTGGCTTCATCTTTTTCATGATAAATTTCTTTATTAAAATGTTAATTTTCTTAAGTATATACTTCAAAAAGATGAAAGTGCATGTTCGATGAGTTTTAGAATTCAGTATGGAGTTGAGAAGCTGATGGTAAAGCAGCTAAACATGAAGATGTAACTGTTGAAACAGTTTCTTGTACGAGTTGTAAAGTACTACAGAAAGTGCTACATCGGACTGGACTGAGCTTGAAACCACATGGGCTTGAAGAGATGGGCTGGACCAAGCTACTCAAGTGTCAAGGACGAGCCTAGACGTGGAATTGAGCTGGAGAAGTGCCTTGAAGAGGATTGAGCCGCATTGAAGACTTTCCTTATCTCTTGGCTAAGAATAAGGAAATGTTGAAGATTCTTGAAGATTTGTTATTATCTGAACTTGGAGACCAAGGCTAGGGTTGCTATCATAGTGACGTCCTATTGTGTATAAATAGAGATTCATGGTCGTTTGTAGGGGTCAACCCCATGATGTGAGAGAATTTTTAGTAAAGGTTTTGGGAGATTCTTGTAAGAACACAAAACAAATGAGTTAAGGGTTTGTCTTGAGAGGTTCTTGGATCGTGTATAGATCAATGAACTAATGAGGGTAGAGAGGTTGTTTTAGGTGAAACTTGTAAGTGCATGTAAAAGATCTTCTAGTAAGCAATATGTCTTAGCAAAGGGGATTAAGGGTTGTCTTGTAAGAGATCTTTGTCAAAGAGGTTAAGGTGTAGTTGTAAGGTTCATGGATTAGGTATAGATCCTTGAGCATGTGAGGCTAGGATTGAAGTTGGTGAATGAAACTTGTGAATAATGATGTTTTAAATTGAGTTTGTGAGTGTGCGAGAAGGATGCGAACATATTTATATAAATCAACTATCTGTTGTCATGTTTTCCTTTAACTTGTACTGCAGTCGTAGGAATGTTTAAAACCGGTTTGTTTGCTAGATAAACAATTTTTTGCCAAAAATAATAAAAAAACACATACTGTATGTGGTGGCAAAACTAGAAATAAAAGATATTTATTTTTGCTTGTCACTTAAAATTTAAAAACGTAAGATCATGTAAAATAGAGTGTTATGTAAGAAATACACATCCTGATAAAAACGCGTAAAATTTATTAAAACACACGATAAATTAACCAAACTCATTTACTCTTTTTCCATATGTCGTTGCAAACGGGAGATCCATGGATAGACAGTGAGAATATTTTTTTTTTTTGGGTCGAAACAGTGAGAATATTTAACCCCATACAACATTCCCAATTTGGTATAAATAACAACACTGTTGACTTGTGAGGTTCTGTATACCATTTCCATAAACCAATTTAGACAGGTCAAATAGTTTTCAAACATTAATCTATGTTGGTTTACTTCTTCTTTTTTTCATGATAAAACTTTTTTCTTTTAATGTTATCTTCGCAAATACTTCAAAAAGAGAGGTATATGCGAAGTTAACATTAAAGACTAAGAAACCAAACAAAAAAAAAAATCTCATTAAGTAGAATGTGTTGGTCGCACATCTCAACTAGAGCATAATTGACACATTATTTATATATAATGGGGACTCAAACAAATTGTCTAAAATTACAATTAAAAAAAAAAGTGAATAGGTCAAAGAAACAAGTTGTATATGTACTTAGAAAGGGCAAATGAAAAACATTATTGTAAATATAATCAGAAACCGTAATATATATTAGCTTGAGCGATTGTGCATTGTTTCTATCTCAGAATCCATTAAAAGAAAATTCGATGGATCGGAGACTTCTTGTAGCCATAGTGCCAGTGGCTGCTTTTTTCATGTTAGCTATCATTTTATGCTTCATTCTGATGCATCGCTTACATAAGGATGTTTGTAGCTTTGAGAAGGATGGTCCCAAAGCCGTGGTCACCGAAGAGTGCAAGGATGGTCGCAAGAAAGCATCACCGTAGAATGATGGTGCGGCAAACACCGTACGTGCTTGTTCTTCTGAAAAAAACATTAATATAAATTCGTTGACTTTCTTTGTTTTTTTGTGAAATAGTAATTTTATAAAGACGGTAGCATCTTCTCTCGCCAATTCTCCGTTACGGTGATTCCAATGATATGAAGATTGGTGATGTATTTTTAAACCGTTTGATCATATTTCTATGGGGGTTGATGGTTCTAAATATCAGTGGTGTTATGGGAAACTTCATCGGATCATTGACCATCTACCGCCAGTTATCTTGTAACACAATCAGGGCCGTATCTATGTGTGTGCGAGAGGTACTTTTCCACCGAATCTTACCATTTTTTCATTTATTTTTAAAGGATTTTAGAACCCTAACATTTAAAAATTATGCGTAAAGGGTCCAAATTTTGTAAATTTACAAAATATAGACTACTAAGTGATTTTTAAAAAAATATTTGCACCTAGCTTTTGTTTGAGACGGCCCTGGATACGATACTTATCTCTTAGACAAGCAAACCTTGTGCAGTATCATTTTGTAAATATTTTGACAAAGAGGAAATATGTTCAAGTCACGGTGAAGAAGGTATCAATGGAAACTTGAAAGTTTCTATTGAAGTTATGATGGTGCATGCATCCATATCTACGACCAGTATTCACTAGATTTACATTTCCAAAGTTGCTATCTCTAGGAGAAGCAAATGTTCGAAAGAATAATGAATCATGAATCGGGTCGTGGATCATGCCCTTGAGTCGTAGACCATGGATATCACTCGGAGTCTTGGATTATCGATATTGTTCAATTATTATATGTAACAAAAGGAGTTTCTAAATTCTCGGTTATTTACTTCAAATAARAACTATAAATGTGGTAAGTGTTTGTTTAAAAAAATAATCCACAAAACGAAAACAAATTAAAAAATCATCATCTCTTACAAGGGAATATAGAAATTCTTGCAAAGAAAGCATTTAGATTTGCAACGTTAGCTTCAATTTACAATTCTTGTCCACTGTTTTTAATGTCAAGGAAGCAATTAGATAATCATTGGCTATGACGAGAAAGAAGGAGCAATCAAGAAAAGTTAGGGGGAAAAACTATTAGGGTTTATACAAAGCTCAAGATCCTCCATTTGAGTTGAGGGTTTAAATATATTTAGATACATCAACAAGAATGTGCATAAGAATTTACATTTTTTAATTACTTTGAAGACGTTCTTCGCTATACTTCTCAATTTGGCTTCTCTGCTTTCTCTCATCATCTACAGTTTTAATATTCATGGCTGCATCGATATCTCTAGTTTCCGAGTTTGCTTCCTCCAGTTTCTCTTGTTTTAGAATTGTTCATATAAGTTATTATCATAGTCAGGAAATAATCTCATTTAACCTTGATCATTTATTAAATATTTCCAATTTGGGATAAACAATAAGAACACTTGTAAGGGTTCTGGATACCATTATCATCCTAGACCAGTCAAATAGTTTTCAAATATTAATCTATATTGGTTTACTTCATCTTTTTCATGATAAATCTTTACATTCGAATGTTAATTTTTTTAACAGTTCAAACTAAAGTCGTAAAAACCAAAATACAAGCTAAAGACTGAGACAACTCAACAAGTAGCATGGCTCGGTCACACCTACATCTCAACTAGCATGATTGGCACATTATATATAGTATACCGAGACTAATTAAATTCCCTAAAATTAAAATGTGAAAGGTCAAATAAAACAAGTAGTATAAATGTATTTAGAAAGTGCAAATACAAAGTCTCCAAAAACATCATTGTAAAATCCAATCCGTAACTG